CCGTCCGTGCGGGCTCGCGGGCCGCCGTGCGTGTGTAGCGAGGTCGCTCGGGGTCCCGTGTCCTGGGCAGTTTCTAGTGCGTCCCCTTGCCCGTGGGTCATCGCGAAATTCTGCTCGCGTCTCAACGAGACTCACAGTAGCGACAGTGTACCAAAGCGTTCTGATTACAGGGGAGGGTTGAGTGTGGGTATTCGTTTCCTTTCTGTAATCATAGGGTATAGATCGAGGAGGCTAAAGCGGGAATGTATGCCAACGCTTTTAGTTTGCAGATGGAAAAAAGCGAGCCCTCTGGAAGTTCTGCCGGGAGTAGAACCTACGTTTCCCGACGCTCGATGCTGTCACGAGACAGATGTAACCTGGCCGAATCACTCCCCGAAATAAAGCACGTGCTTCTATGTTGTTGATTCTCAGATCCAAGTTGGAGTGGTGGTTGTGTTGTGTGTTTACTTTTGATTTGGTGCAGTATGAGGACGAGAGAACTAAGGCTGGCCTTTGAGTGCCTACTGTACCCGGCGTGTGCTAGGAACTCGCATGTCCCCAATCTTGTATAATCCTACGACACCTTGTAAGTCATATCCCAATTTTAACAATAAGGACGATGAGTCAACTTTAATGGCCATTTGAACTCGAGGGCAGCAGATTCCGGCCTAGGTATATTGGATTCCCAAAGGCAATTTTTTTCCGTGATAACTGACATAAATTAGATGACTATGCTTTCTTAATGTCTAATATTTCTACCGTTTGTTCCTGATGAAAAAGTAGTCCAGATATAGTGATGCTTTTATGCAGAAGAATATTTTGATTGTTTTTGAGCTCTGTCACTTAAAATGCAGAGGTGTCAAACTTCATCTGTTATATTGATTCTTAATATGGTAGAAGTTGTGGAAAAAAACTTCACTTAAAAATAGTAATCTGTAATATCTCATATCTGGGACAGTATAGATTTCTTTTGGGCCCATAAATGAAATGTCTGAATTTTTCATATCTTATTTTAATCTTGAAAATTGTGTAATTGATTAAATTCCAGTTCTTCTGGTGGCAGTGAAATGAAATACTTCTTTTCCTGCTAGCTACTGATCCATTGAGTAGAGCGCTGTAAGAGCGCTGTAAGAACCACCCGGGGAAGTACCACACAGATTGAGATAGAGTCTACTCCTTTTTTATCAGCAGTTAACATACATCTAAGGCATAAATGGAAAGAAAGGGAGAGTGGAAGGCAAAAAAGAAGACATGGCGTCGGGTGAGAAAAAATAGACTCCTTCTGACTATTCTTTCCTTCAGACCCCTCTGAACAGAGGCTAGCTAGAAGGCCCTGGAATCTGGAGGTAATCCGGTAGTCAGTAGTTAGGAAGAGTGATCAGATGATTCCCAATTGTATGGCCCAGTCACAGTTTTCCTCCTCGTTAACGCAAACAATGGGTGTTCAAGTTGACAGACATGTTTTATATCCTAAGACTTGAATGGCCCACAGGTGTCTGTCTGAATTATTTATCACTCTGTCATATCCTAAAGGACACTGCCTGGAAACAGCCCTGCCCCTAGGGGTAAGAGTGGCCAGGCTGAGTTAGTGGTCAGTTCTAATTGGTGCCAGAATATTCTTTTGCTCTTGGTTCTTCCATATCCTATCCACATGACTGAACTTCATACAAACTTTAAAGCTCCACTAGGAAGATTTACAAGTTGTAAGCAGTTTTCCCAAATTTTGGAGGAAAATCACAGTGTCTTAGCATGCTTGTGGATGATGTCTTTCCTCTTAGGGTTTAATCTGAACAGTTTTATTTCAATAATACAATTGACATTAATACACTTTGTCCTGAACTTTTCCTTATTGGAAATATCTGCATAAATATGCTTGTACATGTTTCTGTTATGGATATGGACTTAAAGAGAATAAGGATCAATTTAGAAAATATTTGAAAAGAATCAAGGTGGGAGGCTCACAGTACCGGATGTTAAAACATATCACAATATGATAATAATTAAATCAGTGCTCCAGATGCAAGTTGAGGTAGATGATGGAATGGAAAAAGAAATTACATGAACAGCCAAGCATGTAAGACTATTTTGTCTTTAAAAGATAGCATTTCAATTCTGGAAAAACAATTGCTTATTCAATAAATGGTCCTGGATACCTGGAGGAAAATGATATTGGAGCCTTAGGACTGTAGAGTTAAATGTAGAAAAATTAAGCTATACAATACCAGCAGAAAATATGTGCCTCTTGTAAAGTCTTGAGTTGGGGAAAAAAACCCGAATTGGGAAAAACTGTAAAGGAAAAGATTGGCAGATAAAACTTTTAAAAAATTAAAAACTGTGATTTTTAAATACCATAAAATGAGAAGGGAAATGACAAACTGGGGAAAATATTTGCAACATATATGATAAGCAAAGGTCCTGTAAAAATAAAGATTAATATCTCCACTGAAAATGAGCAATGGATATACACAAGCAATTGACAAAGGAAGAAATACAAATATTAATATGAATCAAAGAAACCCAGCTGAAAATAACAATGAGGTTTTTCTTTTCCATTTTGCAAAGATTGAAAAGAATTTTTGAGAAGAGCATGGGGAAATGAATTACTTATACACTGGTAGTGGGAGTACAAATTTGTGTAACCTTTTTGAGGAGAAATTTAGCAATGTGTATCAAAAGCCTTAAGTGTGTATTCTCTTTAACCTAATAGTTCCACTTTATATATTCACAGATGGCCACACATGCCACCTGTGTCATGTAGAAGACATTTATCCTTTTTAGATGCCCAGAATTTGAACCTCCTTCCTCTATTTGTAGTGTCCCCCACTGAGTGAGCCTTGTTGGGGTATTTATTTTAGTTGTCTGACTACCTCCTCTCTACCGCTGTGGAATGTGGACAGGGATTTTGTTCCCTGTGGTATCCCCAGTGTCCAGAACTGGGTATAGCTCACAGTGGATGCCCAAAAAGAAAACCTGAGTGCTGGGGACTCACTTTTCCAGGCTCCCTTGCAGCTAGGTTGTGGGCAAACCGCTTGGACTCTGTTAGATGAATCTGTGCTAGATCTGGACTTGGGGGTAAAGATGTGAAAATCAGGATCTGAAGAGGATTCTTACCCAGCGATAGAATTTGTAGGAAGATCAAGGTCCTTGGCATGAGAGGCGATGCTACAAGCTGTATTGTAATGCTCACCAGACCTGTTCTATGGCGTGCTTTCAGGCCTTGCTCCTGCTCACAAAGATCAGATGCTGGTTCTTCAGCCTCCCTAATGATTCTATCAGCTACTTCATATTCATTTCTTACTATTTTATATTCTTAATTTTTAAATGTGAAATGTTTAATTTTTAAATGTGAAATGTATGTACAAAGGAATGTATAAAATAAGTATCATTTAGAGGTAAACATCGGTTTATGTTCCAGATTAAGAAATTGACTGGAACCAGGACCTTAGAAGCTTCCTGTTTATCTTCACTGGTCAAATTGCTGCTCGCACCCCACAGGGTGCCACTATCTTGATTTCTTGTTAATCACTCTTTTCTCTGTAGTTTTACCATATGTGTCGGTATCTCTAAACAATATATGATTTGCTTTTGGAATCACAGCATGTGTTTTCTTTTGTCACCTAATTCTTTTAGTGAACATTATGTTTTTTAGATTCGTGCATTGCTTGTATTCAGCTGGCGTACACTTGCACGGCTGTACCTGTTTTCACTTGGTGTTCATTCTGGTGGGTCAGTGCCTGCGCTGCCCAGTTGTTAAATATTTTGAAAATAATTCCTGGATTCATTCATTTGATGTGTGTCCTGTATAATATTCTGTTGTGTGAATTTACTGCGATTTATTTATCCATTATGCTATTGATGAATATTTGAATGTTTCTAGTTTTTTGCTATTATAAGCAGTGCTACATTGCACATTCTTAGAACATGTCTCCTAATGTACATGCACATGTTTGCATTGTACATGTATATCCTCTAGGGCATACGCCAAGGAATGGAATGCTGGGGCACTTGGTATGCACATCTCCAACCTTACTTGGAGATGTCACTGTTTCCAAAATATTTGTATCAATTTGCATTCCCACCAGCCTCCTCCTTGCTCCACATCCTTGACAACATTTGTACCATCTGGCCTTACATTTTTTGCCAATCCAGTGAGTGTAACATGATATTTCTTTTTGGTTTTTGTTTGCATTTCCCTGATTACTAATAAAATTGAGTGTCTTTTCGTAACTTTATAAACTAGTATTTGTGTTTTCTGTAAAAATGCTGGTTCATGTCGTTTGCTCATTTGTCTGTTGGGTCGTCTTTTTCTTACTGATTTGTAGGAATTCTTTATATATATAGTTGTATGAGTTGAATGTGTCTTCTCAGCTTGTAGCTTGTCTTTGTTCTTCCTTGATGATTGTCTTTTTTCCAACAGAAGTTATTAGTTTTAATGTAATTTCAATCTTTTCCTGAATGCTTTGTGCTGTCTGCATCTTATATGGGAAATCTTTCCCAACGTGGAGATCATAGAGTCTCTTATATTGTCTTCTAAGCAATTTTGCCTTCCGTGTTTAAATCTTTTTTTTTTTTAATCTGAATTTTTCACTTGGTTGGTTTAAGGTAGGGATCTGATTTCATGATATTTTCCATACGGATAAGCACTTGTCCTTGAGTCGTTTATTGGG